ACAAACAATCGGATATGCTGCATGTACCGTCTCGGTCAAAATTCCCTTAACTCTTAAAGAACTAAACACATACCAATTCCAAAAACAATTAAAACCTTATTTGCTGTCAGAACAACATAGTTAACATAACTTAAGCATATACTCTTTCTTTCTTAATACATTGTATTTTAAAACTGCTTCTTTGGAAATAAATTCTATCTCAATTCTCTAAAACTTTAAATTCTGGAGAACTGGCTAGGAAATCTTAGGATTATTTCAGCTCCAGGCCTTATTAAGTACGAATAAATAAATATATATATATATATATATCGATATTTTTTTTCGGTTTCATGTATGTAATTAAGTACAAGGCGAATAAAAGTATTGTTGTTGTCTAACGGCGGGTGAAACAAGTTAATAAGCTCACCAAGCGCTGGAGACTTCAATAGTTAGCCGTTTCCTCGAGATAGAAAGAAGAAAACGGTTTTGTAATAGTCAGTCAAAATTGAAATAAAGAGTTTTCAGCTCCACTTTCTGCATGTGTGTGTTTTGTTTGTATAGCCCATTTTTAGCGTTAAGTAGAAAACATAAACCCCTTCTCGTGTTGCTAGGTGATCGCTCCTCTTATTCATATTTTTTAAAAAGACGTTTCGGCAAACCGGACTAAAGTTTACTTACCGGGCAAGTCTATGCAAGCCTATTGTTCCTATTGTATAAGAGAGACGCTCATTAGTAAATTTCAACCGAATTAGTATGCAGGAAGGTAATATGAATGTTAATTAACTACCTATAACTATTTAATACTTACTCGACACTACCAAATTAATATGCAGGAACGCAGTTGAATAATATCAGGGCTAAAAGCGAAGCTCTGGTTAATAATACGTGTAAAAAAATAAAAAATAAAAAAATCGTGTAATGCTAAACAAGGACGACAATGAAAATGGCTTCAAGAGTAATAGATCTAATTAGCAAAAAAAAAACAAACAAACAAACAAACAAACAAATTGCACGTGCAGCACACTTTTTCTTCTAATTAGCAAAAAACAAATTTGCACTTGCAGCGCCGTTTTTTGCCTTTCCCTTGCCGTTGTTTTGCACGACTACAACGCTGTTTTGTACGACTAAAACGTCAAACTTCCTAGTTACACATTATTTGTATGGAGGAATTGACGTATGTGCTTACCCAATATTTTGTTTCCTGTGTTCATGTTCGATTTTATTTTTCATTGCCGCTCATTTTCACCTTGCTGGTCGCTCGCATTTCTCATTTTCTCACCGCCGCTTTGAATTTCCATGTTTTTCTTCCTACGAAATTCGTCTCCTTTGTTTTCAATAACTCGCTTTGGCTCTTTCTCTGTTATCCACGTTAGTGTAAACATGAAAAAAAAAAAAAAAACGCCGAAAAAGACACGATTTTGTTGTTGTTTTTTCTTTCTACAAGTCCGGGCGGCCATGTGATTTCCTTCCAAATAAAACCTTGAGTTGCATTTGGGTTGCCATACTTGTTGATTGAGTTATTTTACATTGGTAAGCCTGTGGTGCGGACGGACGGTCGCTGCTCGCTCGCTCGGTGTACGGTCACGTGATTACCAAATTTTCTCGGATGGGTAGGTTACCACATTTCCTCAGCTATGGGGCTCCGCCCACGCGCGGCGGTTCGCGCCGCGCGTGGAGCTCCGCTATTAATGATTTACCTATACCTATACATATACCTTTACACCAACGGGGCTTATATCTTGCAACATAGTACACTACTGGAAAAAATGGGGCAAGGCTATTGTTCCTATCGTATAAGAGAGACGCTCACTACATATGAAAAAAACGAGATGTACTATTGTTATAAAAAGGTCTAGACGGTATTTGCCATATGAGAAGAGAGATAGGTGACGTCATGGACTGGACCTAACTCGACAGTAAAGAGGATCGATTTGAGCATTCTAAACTATTTGAGATTTCCTCCAACACCCCCCCCCCCCCCAAACCCACATCAAAAGAAAATGCAAAAAAAATCCCCCCATCCAGACATAATAAAAAAAGAAAACCCATAACAACACCCTTGGAGCCAAGCAAAAAAAGTTTACAACAAAAAAAACATAAAATATAAAAAA